CTCAGATCTCAACCTCTGGTAGCAAGCATGAGCCACAACCAGTGCCTGGCTTGAATTCTTTGTTTTTTGTTTTTTCCCTAGGCTAAGTATATCTGGACCTGGTGACCTAGTTTCAAATTGTATCATTCTCTTTTGTTAAGTTCTGTTATCTTCTAAGTAAACTAACCAGAACTGAATGTAATACTTAAGATGTAACACAAATGTTGTAAACTGAGATTGTTATTTCAGGATAGTCCAGGAGGTCAGGGACTGTCTTTTTCACTTAGTGTACTCTTCAAGTTACCATGTAACTAGAACATTGTAACATTCTCAACAATATGTGCTCAAGAGTCAAATGAATGCTATTCTTATTAGAATGCTTCTCATTAAGGAAGAATAGGAATAAGCTAAAGAGACTGAAGAAAACTGTAATTTTTAAGCATTGGGTGCACAGCAGCTTTTCAAGTTTCTCTGCCCAATATTGGTTTCAGCTTCCCTAGACTTTCCCATTGTGAGTATTCAACAGTGACCAGAATTTACCCAACTACTTTCTCTGCCTCCACTCTCACTCTGCATTTAAAATTGTTCATTGGCTTTCCACTGCTTTCAGGATAAGTCGAAACTGTTAAGCACAACATTGAGGTCCTTCCTAAACTATTATCACCCTGTTTCTCCATTCTGTTTTCACATAACTACAAATATGTACAAAGATGTGCAAGTTGGAACAAATGGGAATGAAAGTGACCTTGGCTAGGTTGAACAGACAGCCTGTACTTTCTCAACAATAGTGAAGCACCTCTGGAGTAGAAGCATCTGTGTCAAGTTTAGGGCTACTAATTAGCCTGAGAGTTTTCAGTAGAATCATCACCTTCTAGTATAGTAATGGTTTCACTATAAAGCATGGCCTAAGCTCTATGAACTGAGACAAATTTGTTTTAACCAGCACTGTTAATTTATTTGGGAAATGAGAATGTCTACTTAATAAAATGATTGTAAGATGACATAGTAAAATAAAACATTTAGAATATCTGGTAGTCACTACATAAGTAATAGCAGTTGTGATTATTTCAATTGGTGTCTAATTTTAAATAACTCAGTTCTCACATTCTTCCTACTGTCCTATTGTAATGCTATTCCAAACAATTTGTGATTTTCTTTACATTTTTATCATCAATTAATTGTACAAAGATGTTTATTTTGACGTGTCCATATATGCATATAATTATCTTGATCAGACTTAGTCCCTTTATCACTCATCTCCTTCCCCCACTTTGGAATTTTTCCTATTTCTTTTTTTTTTTTTTTTTTTTTGGGTCCGGTCGTGGGGCCTGAACTCTGGGCCTGGGCGCTGTCCCTCAGCTCTTCAGCTCAAGGCTAGCGCTCTACCACTTGAGCCACAGCACCACTTCCGGCTTTTTTCTTTTTGCTTATGTGGTGCTGGGGAATTGAACCCAGGGTCTCAGGCATGCAAGGCAAGCGCTCTACCACTGAGCCACCTTCCCAGCCCCAATTTTTCCTATTTCTTGAGGCACTCAGACGTGTGTGTGTGTGTGTGTGTGTGTGTGTGTGTGTGTGTGTGAGTGTGTGATGTAGCTGGGATTACAGGCATGTGTCACCATGCCTGGCTATAACATTCATATTCATTTCAGTTCCCCTGCCTGGAATTCCTTTTGTTCATTACACTTCAATGTTTCTATTGATAGCTGTACTCATCCTTCAATATCTGAAAAGCCACCTTTTCAACCTAGCTTTTCTTGATTGCTGTAGTTGAAGCTCTTACTTTCAGTTCTGTGTCACATAGTTGATTTTACTCATAATGCTGAATTCATCATGAGATATTGCCCTATGCTTTAATTATTTGTGTATATTTCTTACCACCTTAATAACGACATTCTTTTGTGGCCCTCAGAGAGCTGAGTTAAAAACTTATTAAAACCAGTAAATATTAATAGATGCTCAGTGACATAATTTTAAGAGCCTTATCAACAATTAAATAATTAAACTTTATAATGTTGACGGTGAGGGAAATCTTCACAATGCTGTCAAATTGTACTGTTTTTATGAAGTTTACCACCCACAAAGCATTAGTGGAGCTAATATTAGAACAAGATTTTTTTAAAGAAAGAGGGAAGATCTCATTTTGGCCTTCCCAACCTGCTCAGTGTAGGGTTTTCATTTGCCTGAAAATAACAGATGCCCACTATTAAAACAAGTGCATCTTTGATACCAGATGGGGTATAATTCCTAGGGTTTGGAGGATTAGGATTGAGATGGAATGGGAACTCATCCTTTGTTTTCAGTGCTGTGCCAATTTTTTTTTTTAAATCAAAGACCTCTTTGTGACATCAAGTAAATAGACACCTTCTTTTAGATGTTTGTATCCAGGATGCAAATAGTATCATTTACACAAGAAGAGCCTGTTTGTAGAGCATTTGTCCTATTTTTGCTGCTTGACTTCTTTGTATCTTCTGGTTACTCATCCTGTCATTTGTAATGTTAAGTCTTTGATTACATGTATAACTAATTTACCAGGGTAAGTTTGAACTTTTATAATTTAAAAATTTTCCTTTATTTCTGAGATAGGTTCTTATTGTGTACCCCAGGCTGGCATTGAACTTGTAATCCTGCCTTTGCTTCCCAAGTACTGGGAGGTGTGTCCCACTGTGCAAGCCTGTTATTTGAGTTTTTAGTAAATGGTTCATAGGATTTTTTTTTCCTTTTAGGCTATCCACTTTGCCTGCTTCCTTCTGCCCCCTTCCCCAGACACAATTCCATCCCTGCTGGCCTTTTACTGATTTTTTTTTTTTTTTGGCGGGCGGTTGTGGGGCTTGAACTCAGGTCCTGGGCATTGTCTCTGAGCTTTTTTTGTGCAAGGCTAGCACTCTACCACTTTGAGCCATGTTGCTACTTCTGGTTTTCTAGTGGTTATTTGGAAATTAGAGTCTCACGGATTTTCCTGCCTTGGCTGGCTTTGAACCTCGATCATCAGATCTCAGTCTCCTTAGTAGCTAGAATTACAGATGTGAACCACCTTTATTGATTATTATTTTTTTTTTTTTGTCGTCATGGGGCTTGACCTCTGGGCTTGGGCGCTGTCCTTGCGCTCTTCAGCTCAAGGAGAGCGCTCTACCGCTTGAGCCACAGCACCACTTCCGATTTTCTAGTGGTTTATTGGAGATAAGAGTCTCACGGACTTTTCCTGCCTGGGCTGGTTTTGAACTGCAATCCTCAGATCTCAGCCTCCTGAGTAGCTAGGATTACAGACACGAGCCACTGGCTATTGGTTATTTTTGAGATAGAGTTTTGCTTTCTGCTTAGGTGTGTGCTTGGACATAGATTCACTAATTATAAGCTTCCTGTAGTTGCTGTATGTGTGTGCCACCTCTTCCAGCTTCTCTCCATGGAGACCAGTCTTGTGGACATTTTCTGCCCAGGCTGGCCTAGATCCTCTCAGTATTAGCCTCTCACATAGTTTAGGATGATAGACAAGTACCACTCTGTCTTGCTGTGGGTAAAGAAGAAGTCTCAGGAACTTTTCTGCTGTAGCTAGCTTTGAACCATATTTCACATTCTGGGCCTCCATTAGCTAGGACTACAGACATGAGCCTGGCACTTTCTATATGTTGGCTATTCTTTAGTAAATAAAGTGTGACAATATTCTTTGGTCTCTTATTTTAAGGCTTGACTAATAATACTGGGATTTTTGACATCAAAATGTTGTAACTCACCAGGCATCTGTGGCTCATGCCTGTAATCCTAGCTACTCAGGAGGCTGAGATCTGAGGATTGTGGCTGTGGCTCAAGTGGTAGAGCATTCACCTTGATAGGGTAAAATTAGATTTTGCCAGAGAACCACACAGACATCCAGGTACAGAGAACAAAGGAAGGTTTATTGCCGGGAAAGGGGCCAGCAAGACCCTTTCTCACAGGGAGAAGTGAGAAGTGCTGGCTATTGTCTGAGGTGACCTATATAACCTAGGAAGTTTAGGAGGGGCTAGATGGGGCTAGGAGGCAGAGACCCTGGTGTGGACCTGTGGGCCAGGGGCTTCATCATGGTGGACTAGGATTTATGGGTGCTATCCAAATGGTAGGTAAGGGGTCCTGAAACTGCCCAGATCTGAAAGTCACTCAAAAGGGCTCTTGTTGCCTTATATGGTGGTAGCTGCCCCAGAGAAGTGCCATCCCAAGGTAAAGGGGGGTTGGAGGTCGATTATTTACTGCCTTTACTACATGGACCTAGTGTTGCCTAGGAAGGGATCATGCTAAGCTGTGGAGAAGGGAAGGAGGGTACTAAGTTATGGGAAGAGAGCTCATTTCACTAACACACCTTAAGCTGAAGATCTGAGGGACAGTGCCCAGACCCAGAGTTCAAGCTCCACAACCGGGGAAAAAACAAAAAGAAAAAGAAATAAAAGATTAATGAAGACTTGGGGAACTTAAAAGTGGAGATATAACTCAGTGGTAGTGCACTTGCCTAACAGCAAAAGGCCCTTGGTTCAATCCCAGCATAGCATTAAAAAAAAAAAAAGACGGGGAACATTTTAATTTAACCATTTCTTGTAGTGTGGACAGTTTTGCAGCAAATATTTCCTACAAATTCTGAAGCTTATATTGAAACTCTCAAAGGACAATATGCAAAAAATAAGATGCTATTTTGGGGAAGAAAAGACTTAATTTCAAATATACAGTTCTGAGCACTGGGTTCAATTATGGTATATTTCATTAAATGTCCCTAGTATGTATTATTTTAAGCAAATCTCTATGGGCATAATCTTTAATGACTTGGACATAAATCACTTATTCAGAATGTAAAGGTAAAGTACTTTTGTTTCAATTGAAATTTCATGGATTGGAATTCAGTTTAGTGATTAGATATATAAACATATTAAATCTACATGTATTAATATCTAAATATCAAAATATATTAATATATAAATATATTGATCTTTTGGGGCTTGGGAATTTGGTCTACAACAGTGTTTTGCTTATAAGAGTTCCCCTTTTCCCTCTTTTTAAAATAGCAACATCATGACAACAGAGAAGGGTTTAGTTGTTGAGGCTGAAAATTCTCAGCCTCAACAACAGAAGGAAGAGGGTGAGGGAGCCACAAACTCACACCAACAAGAAGCTCAGCTGGAAGAGGCTTCCCAGGCAGCTGAGGGAGATAATCAGTGTGAGCAGAAACTGAAAGCATCCAATGGAGACACTCCCACACATGAAGACTTGACCAGGAACAAGGAACGAACATCAGAAAGCAGGGGCCTGTCAAGACTGCTCTCCTCATTTCTCAAAAGACCCAAATCTCAAGTCTCTGAGGAAGAAGCCAAAGAGGCAGAGGCAGAAAAAGAAAAAGGAGAAGTAGGTCAGAAAGAGATAGAATTTGGAACCAGTCTTGATGAAGATATAATTTTAAAGGCCCCAATTGCAGCTCCTGAACCTGAACTCAAAACAGACCCATCTTTGGATCTTCATTCATTAAGCAGTGCAGAAACACAGGTATGGATGTATGACTAGGTGGAGGTGGGTACATGAAGGCAGGCTATGTACTTTATTTTTAATGGAAAGACATTTGCTTTATTACTTAGCCAGTTGACTTGGGCATCAGTAGTGATAAGTAACATGAAACTCTGGAGTTTTTGTTTTCTAAAGAAATTAATAGTGAGGGAAGGAGTAACAAGTTTGACAAGAAATGTACTTATTATCTTACTTATGTAACTGTAACCCCTCTGTATATAACTTTGACAATAAATTTTTTTTTTTTTTTTAGTTGTGGGGCTTGAACTCTGGGCTAGGGCACTGTCCCTCAGCTTTTCAGCTCAAGGCGAGCACTCTACCAGTGCCACTTCCAATAAAAAATCTTTTTAAAAAAAAGAAATATAGTCAGTGGAAATTTGATTTTTATAGTCAAAGGAAAGAAAAATTTAAAAACTATCCAGTTACCTTGTTCAGTTCATTTATCCCTTTACTATAATCATGGATTAAATTCAAGATTTTTTTTTCTTTTTTGGGGCGGGGAGGGCTGATCATGGGGCTTGGACTTTGGGCCTGGGCGCTGTCCCTCTGCGCTGCAGCTCAAGGAGAGCACTCTACCACATGACCAACAGCGCCACTTCCAGTTTTCTGGTGGTTTTATTGGGGATAAGAGTTTCGTGGACTTTCCTGGCTTTGAACCTCAATTCTCAGATCTCAGTCTCCTGAGTAGCTAGGATTTCAGGCATGAACCACCCGCGCCTGGCAAGTTCAAGATTTTTAATGAGAGGCCAAAAAAGAAGTGAGGTGGTTTGGCAGTCATTTTGGTAGAATTAGGACTGGGATAGGCATCAGCCTAAGCCTACCTTATTTTGATCATCTCTAATGAGTCTGAGAGCATAAGTCCATGAGAAAGTCTAGTTCTTTCTATAACTCATGTGGTCTTTTTTAGTATAGGGCTTTAACTTTATCACAGTGTAATTGAAATGAACAGGAGTTATTCCTTTGTTCAAAAAACAGGGAAACAGTCATGCTTTACTCAAACTTTTATAGGAATCTCATTAGTTTTTAGCTTTACTACTTACAAAAAATTATTTTCAAAGTCTTATTTCTGAAATGTGTGAACATTCTCTGTGTTATCAAAAATGTTAAGTCCCCTATGTGTTTCTATTATAGAGATAAGGTTTGGGTTATATTATTAAACTTTTCTAAAAATATTACATGTATTTCTAGAAACATATTCAGAGCACTAAGGGTACAATTAGAATAAAGTAGTAATTATGTAATTGTTAGTGAAAGTTGAAAATGAGGTTCCTTATGTTAATAATAATTATGAATGCAAGCTATGGAATCAGAAAAGTGACGCTTTTCACTTTATCATTTATTTCTTCCTTGTACCATGCAGATAGTAATAGCCACCTCATTTTATTCCTTACAAGAGTGAGGAATGAAAGAAATAAATATGGAAGCTTGAAATATGGTGAACACTTAATATGTATTCCTTATTATTAGTAAATAAACACTAACATTAAAGACAAAAAGAAACAAGAAACTATATATACTTTTAGACATTGTCATACAAGCTTTTATAAAATAAATATCTTAAAATTTAGAATAAAAAGCCCCTATATCACCTTTTTTCCCCTATATCATTTTAATAGCATTAATTTGATTTAATTTGAGTTTTGGAAAATGAAAAGTGTTAAAGTACATTATCTTGGGGCTGGGAAGGTGACTCAGTGGTAGAGTGCTTGTCTTGCATGCATCTGAGGCCCTGGGTTCAATTCCTCAGCACCACATAAGCAGAAAAAATAAAAAAGCGGGAAGTGGTACTGTGGCTCAAGTGGTAGAGTGCTAGCCTTGAGCTGAAGAGCGCAGGGACAGCGCCTAGGCCCAGAGTTCAGGCCCTACGACCGGACCAAAAGCAACAACAACAAAAAACATAAAGTACATTATCTTTCAGTAAGTCTGGAACTTTAAAAAATTTTTAAATGTTTTAAAAAACATTAAAAAAATTGTTAAATGTTTAAAAAAATTTAAAATTTTAAATTTAATACATTAAAATTTTAAAACATTTAAAAATATTTCTCTTCTGTTTTATGTAGGATATAACTTATATCTTGATAGCATTTGAACCAGAATTTATTTATTTTGTCTAAAGATCATAGATATGTACTTAAATGCAGGAAATAAAGGATTGACAAAGTTAATTTTAGATTTACTAAAATCTCATCAAGGGGCTGGGAAGGTGGCTCAGTGGTAGAGCACTTGCCTTGCATGCCTGAGGCCCTGGGTTCTATTCCTCAGTACCACATAAGCAAAAAGAAAAAAGCCGGAAGTGGTGCTGTGGCTCAAGTGGTAGAGCGCTAGCCTTGAGCTGAAGAGCTGAGGGACAGCGCCCAGGCCCAGAGTTCAGACCCCACGACCGGACCCAAAAAAAAAAAAAAAAAAAAAAAAAAAATCTCATCAAGACACTTTGGAATTGAGATAAATTATATACAGGTATTTATTTAAAAAGAAACAGTTTTATTATTAATAAAAATCTCCAAATAATATTGTTCAAAGGAATAAATTATTTTAGGTCTTTTGAAATAAAAAAATAGTGGATCAGAATGGTGTATTTGCTTAACCATCCTGTATTGATTTGATGGGATTCTACTTAAAAAGTTTTAAAAATAGTAAAGTCTATAGAGGTTTATAATACCTTTTATGGAAAAATAATTAGTATCAATGTCACCCATATTTATTTTAATAGTTTTTCTTCAATTAGTATTTTCATTAGTAAGATTATTGTAGGTAAAGTATATATGTAATGTTTTGTAAAGTGTTGTTTTTACTGACTGGTGATATCATGATTGTGTAGCCAGCTCAAGAAGAACACAGAGAAGACCTAGATTCTGAAACTAAAGAAGGAGAAGAAATTGAAGAGTGTTCTAAAACAGAAGTAAAAGAAAATCCTGAATCGAAAGCAGAAAGAGAATTAAAAGCTTCCCAGAAATCAGTCAGAAGGCACAGAAACATGCACTGCAAGATTTCTTTATTGGACGACACTGTTTACGAGTGTGTTGTGGAGGTGAGTAATCAGAACTCCTGTAGACTGTTTCATGTGGACTTAGGGAAATTGTGCCTTTGCTCAAGACCTACTCCACAGAAACTGTTTTCTGGAAATGAGAATATGGGAGGAATATAAGTGACTCTTCTTTTCTTCTATTTACAAAAAAACTACCAAAGCCTTTTGACTAAATATGTTATTCTTATAATAAAATATTTTTTTTATTATTTACTTATTTTTATTTTATTTTTTGTTGGTCGTGGGGCTTGAACTCTGGACCTGAGCGCTGTCCATCAGCTCTTCAGCTGAAGGCAAGTTTTCTACCATTTCAGCCACAGCACCACTTCTGATTTTCTGGTGGCTTATTGGAGATAAGAGTCTCACAAACTTTCCTGCCCGGGCTGGTTTTGAACCACAATTCTAGATCTCAGCCTCCTGATTACAGGTTTGAGCCATTGGCTCCTGACAATAATTTTATTTTTAAAAAGATAAATTTGTTATTTGTAGAATTACTTTCTTATTAACAGATTTCCCAAGATAATGTCAGTTTCTGTATTAGGTATGGATGTTCCTATAATTATATTTGCAAAAACTATTGCTTTCAGTAAGGTTTCTGCTCTTCAAGATCTAAAGCTTAATCTTTCACTTAATAAATGTATATCTTTAGCCCCATGAGATAGCATATAAAAATATAAGTCGATAACTAATATAAGCTAATAAAAATAAATAAAAAATAAAAATGTAAGTCAAATAATCCTATTTTTAAAAAAAAATTCTCTAACATCTTATGGAATTACTCTAATACTAACTTGAATTATCTCTTTATTTCTTTTGGTGTACTGGGGATTCATCTCAGGGCCACGAGCTTCCTAGGCAATCCTCCAGCCCTTGAGACATGTCTCTAGGCCCTTCTAACATTTTATGAAAGAATAAATAATTGAATCAGGATTGAATAAAAATGTCAGTTACTCAGTTTCTTTTGTTCCTTCAGGAGAATTTGAAATAAAACATCTATTAGTTCTTTGTTTTAACTATAGCAATAAATTGTCAATTATGATATGCTGATAGATGAGAAATTATTGTGATTGCTGATAGCTTTTATTAATAAAACATGTAATTCATATATCCTGTTTTAGGTATACAACAAATTACTTCTGAACTGAATTTTGTGAAAATGCAAATATATCTAGTCACAAATAGTCTAAAAATATTATACTATTTACTGATAGGTATTCATTCTTCAGGTTTTCAAAAAGGAAATTAAGAAAATGTGCTACTGAGCTATAAAAATAGCTGCTATACCCGGAAACTGGACAAGACTTAGGACCTGCCTTTTCTGCTTCTTGCTAATAGCTACTGTAGAAAGCTACTCTGTATATATTTTTCTCATTTAGACAGACCAAGGTCTAGATATGGGCCCTGATACCTGGAGCACTTGGGAACAAGTATATTTCAGAACTCAGAATAGATTGCAATTTAGAGAGGCACAACGTGCACATTATGCTTATTTCATAATACACCCAGCAGGTATAGGATTGAATGTTATTTTTATGGTAAAGAATCTATTAAAACTAAGGTGAGTAAATGAAGATAATTATTTTTCTCAAAAAAAAAAACCCACCTTTTGATATTTTTTTTGAACTTGTGAGTTTTGGAACTTTTAAAAAATTCTAATTTTTTGAAGTATTTTTTGCATGAATTTCTTTTTTTTTTTATTGTGAAAATACTGCACAGAGGGGTTACAATTACCTGGGCAAGATAATGAGTACATTTCTTATCAAGCATTGTAGTTTCCTCTTCCTATCCCTTCCCCTCCGCCCCCGCCCCTTTGCATGTATTTCTTAAAGGGCATTATCAGCATGTTTCTTTGGCTTATTTTCCAGAATTTTTTATAGATAAGAAAGCTAATAATTGAAACTCCTCAGTTCTTCAGGTAGTAAACAGAGGAGCTATAACTTTTCAACTCTAAGTTAACCTCTAAGTTAGGACATTTCTTCTCTATAAATGGAACTATAAATACCCAAATTTAGCAGTGGTTTGATTAATTTTAGGCAATTAGAAAAGAATGTGTACCATTACTGAAAGAGCTGCTTAGATAGTGTCTATAGGTCTACCTAAAGTTTTTACCTTACATGTTTTTTTTTTTTGTGTGTGTCAGTCATGGAGTTTGAACTCAGAGACTGCATGCTGTTCCTGAGCTCTTTTGCTTAAGGCTTATGCTCTACCACTTTGAGCCACAGTGCTACTTCCAGTTTTCTGGTGGTTAATTGGAGATAAGAATCTCATGGACTTTTTTGTCTGGACTGGCTTTGAACCTCAATCCTCAGATCTCAGCCTCCTGAGTAGCTATGGTTACAGGGGTGAACCACCAGAATCTGGCTTCTTATGCATTTTTCTGAAAGAGATTGAAGAAAGTTGAGGTGTAAGTCATTCTCCTGGGGATTTGTTGTGAAAATAATAGTCACAATTGGGCTGGGAAGGTGGCTTAGTGGTAGAGCACTTGCCTTGCATGCATGAGGCCCTGGGTTCGATTCCTCAGCACCACATAAGCAAAAAGAAAAAAGCTAGAAGTGGTACTGTGGCTCAAGTGGTAGAGGCTAGCCTTGAGCTGAAGAGCTGAGGGACAGTGCCCAGGCCCAGAGTTCAGGCCCCATGACCGGACCCCCCCCCCCACACCTCCCCAAAAAAAGTCACAATTAACTCAGTGTTGACAGGTTAATTCAGTAAGTCAGTTAATCACAGTGAATGATAGTGTCTCATAGTATGCTTCAGTAAATATGGCACCAAAAATAATGTTATTTGTCACTTTTCTTTTTGTTGTTGGTTGTGGGGCTTGAACTCAGGGTCTGGGTGCTGTCCTTGAGCTATTCTGTTCATGGCTAGTGCTCTACCACTTTGAGCCACAGAACCACTTCCATCCAGTTTTCTAGTAGTTAATTGGAGATGAGAGTCTCACAGCCCTGGCTGGCTTTGAACTGTGATCTTCAGAGCTCAGCCTCCTGAGTAGCTAGGATTACAGGTATGAGCCACTGGAGAAAGGGAAAGGGAAGAGGATAAATAATTTTGAGGTACCATACAACTACATACGAAAATAGCATAAAGACCCTCAATGAGCTGGGTTCTAGTGGCTCATTCTTATAATCCTAGCTACTCAGAAGGCTAGGATCTGAGGACTGCAATTCAAGGACATCCCAGGTAGGACAGTCCATGAGACTCTTATCTCCAATTAACCACCAGAAAACCAGAACTGGTGCTGTGGCTCAGGTGGTAGAGCGCTAGCCTTAAGCAAAAGAGCTCAGGGACAGCACCCAGGCCCTGAGTTCAAGCCCCATGACTGACAAAAGAAAAAGAACCTCAGTGAGAAAGCCAGGAGCCAGTGGGTCATGCCTATAAAATCTAGCTACTCAGGAGGATGAGATTTCAGGATAATGGTTCAAAGACAGAGTGGGCAAGAAGGTCTGTGAGATTTATCTCCAATTAACTATCAAAGATCTAGAAGTGGAGCTCTGGCTCAAATGGTAGAATGCTGGCCTTGAGTGAAAAAACTAAGGGAAAGTGCCCGGTTCAAGCCCAGTGCCAGTGAGTGCATACACGTGCATGTGTGTGTGCGCACAACACACACAACTCATACAAGAAGCTGAAATGAAAGGAAAAATAAACCTCAATGAAAGCTGTTGATAAATGGGTTGGAGAGAGAATAAAGAGAAACAGACTCTTTTGGGGGTAGGTATTAGCGAGAGGGGGTTGGGTTAACAATGGTGAAAGAGGACAAATATGGTTGAAATAGATTATTGTATATATGAAAATAGAACAATGAAACCTGTTGAAATTGAATTAGGAAGCACAGAAGGGGTTAAGGGAAAGTGATGGAGGAATGGAAATTGAGTGGAATTCATTGCACATTTGCATGGAAATGTCTCTATTAAATCTCTCCCTTGCATAACTAAGGTATACTAATAAAAAATAGAATGTAGCACTTTAATGCATGTAGTGAGGCACATACTTCCCAAGACTTGGAAAGCTGAGGTAGAAGGATAATGAATTTGAGGCTAGATAGCCAGCTTCTAGGTTTAAAAAAAAAAAAAACAAAAAAAAACTAGGTATTGGTGGCTCACATCTGTAGTCCTAGCTGCTCAGGAGACTGAGATCTGAGGATCACAGTTCAAAGCCAGCCAGGACAGGAAAATCCATGAGACTCTTATCTCTAGTTAACCACCAGAAAACCAGAAGTGGTACTGTGGCTCAAAGTTGTAGAGCACTAGCCTTGGGCAAAAAGAGTTCAAGGACAATGACCAGGCTCTGAGTTTAAGCCCCTTCCCCTCCCCCCCCCCCCCCCCCCCCACGAGTGGAAGGTAAGGTTTTCCTTTGCATTGTTACCATTTCCAAGGCAGGCGTTGTAATTGTGCTGTATGTAAGCTGACAAACTAAGGAACAGGAATTTTATAACTCATATTGTTTTACTTAAGACTGTGTAAGCTATGTGAAAGTTTGTTAGTTACCAAAACTGAAAGTTAAAAATAATTTTGTGTATGTGTATGTGTGTGTGTGGGGGGGGGGTGGAGGAGTAGGAGGAGATGGAGAGGAATGTAAGAATGAGAGGACACCTCAACTGAAATACATTTATCTTTTCAGAAACATGCGAAAGGTCAAGATTTGCTTAAACGAGTATGTGAGCACCTCAATCTTTTGGAGGAAGACTACTTTGGTCTGGCCATTTGGGATAATGCAACCACTAAGGTAAGTAGACTATATGCAATACAAGAATTTGACCAAAAAAGAAAAACAATTGTTTTATATTTACTTTTCCAAGACATAGTATACTTAGTTTGTTTTTACACTTTTAAAGCTGGATGCTGGTGGCTCATGCCTGTAATGCTAGCTACTCAGAAGGTTGAAATCTGAGGATCATGGTTCAAATCCAGCTTGGGCAGGAAAGTCATGAGACTCTTATCTCCAATTAACTTCCAAAAAGCCATGTGGCTCAAGTGACAGAATGCTAGCCTTAAGCACAAAAGCTGAAGGACAGTGTCCTGGCCCTGAGTTCAAGCCTCAGGACAGGCATAAAAAGAATAACAATTTTAAATTTTATCCTGCTATTATCACATCTCTTTTCCAATTTAAGATTTACATTTATAGTTATAGCAAGCTTTCTGTAAAGTACACTAGATTAGGCCATGATCAAGTCAATCATCTAGCAGATGTGTTAATCTTTAGAAACAGGCTATAAAAATGCAAAACTATGGAAATGAAATCTAGACTATTTACAAATGACTCAGCTTGTGAACAGTGAAGTAGGTAATAGTATACACATTCCTGATACAAAATACTTCACTGCAGTGCCACAGACCAATCACAAATTAGGTCTCCCTTGAAAAAATGATCAGGATTCTTTGACTTTACCCTTGTCATACTGAGAGGAGTTTGGTAAGAAAAATGAGCAGTGCAAATTTAGATTTGAAGTAGTTTCTCAATAAAATATTTTGGAGTTACTAAACCCATAAGCTGCTGAATAAACTCAAACATTAAAGGAACACACATTTAAAATCTGTAGCAAGCCAGCTGGCAGTTCCCCTTTCTAAACCCAAATTGCACATGCACTGAGGAAATGGGAAGGCTACTAAGGTCTAAAAACAGATGCTCTCTGCTCTACTGAGGAGGCTCAGCCAGCATTTTCCTAAGCAGAACCAATGTGCTCTGATTAATGTTAGTGTTTGCACAGTTCCCCAATGCCAAACATACTAAGGCTTCCACAGGCAAACTCACATACTCACATACCTATTTTCATATTCTCATATACTGATTTAGGCAAAAATACTGCTAAACTTCATCTCTGTATTGCTTGGAAACGTGTGTGTGTGTGTGTGTGTGTGTGTGTGTGTGTGTGTGTGTGTGTGTGTGTGTGTGTGTGTGTGTGTGTGTGTGTGTGTGTGTGTGTGTGTGTGTGTGTGTGTGTGTGTGTGTGTGTGTGTGTGTGTGTGTGTGTGTGTGTGTGTGTGTGTGTGTGTGTGTGTGTGTGTGTGTGTTGGTCCTGAGGCTTGAATTTAGGGTCTGGATGTTGTCCCTGAGCTGCTTTTAATCAAGGCTAGAACTTTATCACTTGAGAAACAACACCACTTCTGGCTTTCTCTGAGTAGTTTGCAGGAGATAAGAGTCTCAGGAACTTTTCTGCCGGGACAGGCTTCGAATCTTGATTATCAGATTTCAGCCTCCTGAGTAGCTAGGATTATAGGCATGAGCCAACAGCACCTAGCTACTTGGAAACTTTTAAAACTCAAAAAGGAATGTGTTCCTGTTTTTGTTTGTTTGTTTTTCTGATGGTACTAGGGTTTGAACTTAAGGCCTCTTGCTTAGGAGGCAGATGCTCTACCACTGAGCCATGCCTTCAGCCTAGAAGGTGATTCTTCCATTAATGCACAAACTTAAATTATGTTTGAAATATTAATGTGTTAACTCACAAGCTGTGGTTAGCAAAATGGATTCTTGAAAGGAAATCTCTACCTTGGAAAGTATTCAAATAGAAACTGCATTATTCAGAATAACTTTTTTTTTTTTTTTTTGCCAGTCTTGGGGCTTAAACTCAGAGCCTGGGCACTGTCCCTGAGCTTCTTTTGCTCAAGGCTAGCACTCTGCCACTAGAGCCACAGTGACACTTCTGGCTTTTTCTGTTTATGTGGTACTAAGAAATTGAACCCAGGGTTTCATGCAGGCTAGGCAAGTACTCTACCACTCAGCCACATTCCCAGCCCAGAATGACTATTTTGTTGGGTAACTTAAGATTCTCTGCTAAAGGAACTTGTCCTCTTAACATTTGTTGTTTTGTAAATTAAGTCTTGCCTTATGCTGTTGACTATACAACCATTCCGTTTGGGAAATCAGTTCGCATATATTATCTTGATTCACTCCCTGCTCATTAGTATAACTTACTATAAGAAAGTATGTAAATTATACCTCTTGAAAAGCTTTTACAAATTAAACACATCTGTGTGAACATCCTGAAGATGAAAAAAACCAATATTACCAGAACCCCTCCAGAATTTCCCTTTGTGACTCCTTGCAGATACTGTTTCTCCCCTGTCAAAATTTACTTCTTCATGCCAGCAAGTTCTTTACTATCAGTTAATTTTGCCTGTTTTTAAACTTTATGTAAATGAGATCACCCCATGTATTCTCTCTTGGCTTCATTTGTTCAGTCTTACATTTTCAAGATTTATCCATGCTGTTACAAGTTCATTCTCACTGTTGGATCACAGTTCATTGTATGATGATATTGTTCATTGTATGATGATATTGTTCTTTATTTGTGCATTCTGCTATTGGCACACATTTGGCACTTTAGGCTTTTGTGAATATTGTTGTTGAAACATTCCTGTATGTGTCTTTTGGCACATATCGCCATATATATTTCTGTCAGGGTAGACATTGAAGTGAAGCTGTTGGGTTTTAGAGAAGGTATAATATGTTCAATTTTTTTTTTTTTTGGGTTGGTTGCGGGGCTTGAACTCTGGATTTGGGTGCTGTCCCTGCGCTCTTCAGCTCAAGGCGAGCGCTCTACTGCTTGAGCCACAGCATCACTTCCAATATGTTCAACTTTAATAGCAAATTTGAGACAATTTCCAAAGTCAGATTACCAGTTTATTCTTCCATCTCAGCCTCTTGAATAGCTAGGATTATGAGTGTGAGCTACCCGTGCTCTACAGCAGCTCGGTACTTTTTGTCTTTATTTCTTTCAAAGGCAACTATGAAAGACATTAATAGCTTTTTAAGTGCCATTTATTTTGTGTAGGACACCTTAGGTTGAGAAGCCTTTATCCTAGTGGCATGTAGCCTTAAATAGGGGAACACTGAAGGGTGAGGTTACACTGGGCACTAGTAGTCAGAGGACAAAACATTCATTCAGTAAACATTAACTGGGCACTAGTATGTATCAAGTGCTGTGCTAACAAAAATCTTGAACAAAACCAAAGGTCAGGGTTGAAAGGGGAAAAAATGATTTGTATGATATCAGTCAATTTTGGTTGTAGATCTTTATTAGTTTTTTTACCAAATAATCTAACTAGCAAAGCCTCATTTCACATTTACTGCTTTCTGACAGATTTACATATATTAAAGTTATGAGGTGAATACTACTAGTTAGATCTCATTTTATAGAGGAGAACTGAGGTACTGAACTCCTAAAGTTACTTAGCTAAGACATAATAGAGCTTGGATTCATGTCAACTTCTGGCTCCTGTTTTCTCTGCTTTGTACAATTAATGCAAAGACTATGAAGGGGAATGTAGGTTGATCTGAAGGTCATTTTCCAAAGTAGTCAGTGATCCTGCCTCCAGTACTCTATGTGTTTTGGAACTCTGTGTGAATACCTTTTCTTCTTTTTCTAGACGTGGCTGGATTCTGCCAAAGAAATAAAAAAACAGGTTCGAGGTAAGTGGATATAGCCCTTTTTTTCTTTTAGTAGGTCAGAGGATTTCCAGTCACTTCTGGCTGTGAGTCAGTCACTTTAGAATCTGACTATTGTAGATTGCTTTGAAACTAAGATAAAGCTTTCCCCCTGGAAAGAGATTCCATAATAGAAAAATGCAGTAAAGGTAGACATTATTGATATATAGGTCAGATCATGGCTTTTCTTTGTTTTTTTTTTTTTTTCTCTTTTACAACTAGGCAAAACTGGAAAAGATAGGAACAGGAGAGTAACAGGTGGAGAAGAACAAAAATGAGAAAAGGAATATGATATGAGTCTGTTCTCAGATACTACAGTAGCCTACTAGGTGGAGTTTGCTGACATTATGTCTTCATTCCTAGCTCCAAAGCATATCTTACTGCTGCATATCCTGCACAGATTGGTGTTCTGGAATGAAAAATATAGATTAGTATTTTCCAGTTACAGCCAGGTGCTGGTGGCTCATGCCTGTAATCCTAGCTACTTAGGAGGCTGAGATCAGAGGATTGCTATTCAAAGCCAGCCTGGGCAGGAAAGTCCATGGAACACTTATCTCCAATTATCCACCAGAAAACTGGATGTGGTGCTGTGGCTCAAAGTGGTGAATGCTAGCCTTGAGCAAAAGAGCTGAGGGACAAATGCTCAGGCCCTGAGTTCGAGCCCCATGATTGACTGAGGAGGTGTTAGAGACATTTTTTTCATTTAGTTTATTTTCCAAGAAACTTCCAGGAAATGTACTATCAATTAATTATTCATCATGATGAATATATTTTAATTTTATCACTGAATACAAATTTTGCCTTCATTTGTTTCTTAAAATGAAACACTTCTGTCATGGTGAAATGTTTTCCTTTATAATTATTATTATTGTTTTAACTTTTGAAAATTGAAAATCAAAACTCCTTTAGAATGGTACTTTTTATCTATCTATCTATCTATCTATCTATCTATCTATCTATCTATCTATCTATCTATCTATCTATCTATCTACCTAGAGTGAAAATGAAGAGCCCCCGGTTGATAAAATGCATCCTCCATTTTCCTTTGACTCACTTATGGGCTGGGAAGGTGGCTCAGTGGTAGAGTGCTTGCCTTGCATGCATGAGGCCCTGGGTTCAATTCCTCAGCACCACATAAGCAGAAAAAGCCAGAAGTGGCACTGTGGCTCAAGTGGTAGTGTGACACAAGCCTTGAGCTGAAGAGCTGAGGGACAGCACCCAGGCCCAGAGGTCAGGCCCGACGCAGACAAAAAAAAAAAGGAAATCCTTTGACTCACTTATAATCTCTGATCTTGGGATTTAATTCTTCTAGTTTTTTTCACCTAAAGTAACCTGGAGCCATAGTTTCTATATTGCTTCTTCTATCTTCTTCTACCCCCTTCCACTGACAGGGATTTGCTATTTCACTCAAGCTGGTCTCAATTACATGATCCTCCTGCCTCATCCTTCCTGGATAACTGTCATGCTCCAACATTCCTGGCTCCTCTACTTCTTCCTTCTTATTTCTTTTTTTTTGGTCAGTCATGGGGCTTGAACTCTGAGCCTGGGCGCTGTCCCTCAGCTCTTCAGCTCAAGGCTAGCTCTCTACCACTTGAGCCACAGCGCCACTTCCGGCTTTTTCTGTGTATGTGGTGCTGAGGAATCCAATCCAGGGCCTTATGAATGTGAAGCAAGCACTCTACCACTGAGCCACCTTCCCAGCCCTTCCTTCTTACTTCTAAAATACTCCTCTAATCTCACTCATACTAATGAGAAGAATGCTTTTGTTTATTTGTAATAATATTGACAGATACCACAAATAAATAATAGAAAAACTGAAAAAGAACATCCATTGGTCATCTGAATGACTTCTGAGGACCCGGAGTAATATATTGATCATATCTTAAAATGATTTGCTACAAACAAGTTGATCTAGAGGATGGATGCTTCTGTGTTGTTTTGCCCATGTACTTCTAATCCCTTGTAAATTAAGTCAGATTAGAGAGAGAGAGAGGGCCTCCATGTTCCCCACATAAAGTCAGACAACCTTCTTTAAAATTATTTTTAATCATAAAGTGTGAAAATGTTTTGTACAAAAATTACAGAAAATCCAGGCATTGGTGGCTCATGCCTATAATCCTTGTTATTCAGGAGGCTGAGATCTGAGGATCATAGTTCAAAGCCAGTCTGGGCAGAAAAGTCCATGAGACTTTTATCTCCAATTAACTTCCATAAAAGCTGGAAGTGGAACTGTGGGTCAAGTGGTAGAGTGCTAGTTTTGAGCAAAAACAACCTCAAGAACAGCATCTTGGCCCTGAGTTCAAGCCCTAGGACTGGCACCAAACAAACAAAAATTCCAGAAAAAAAAGATTGAGTATTTCAAGGTTATCCTAACAATCAGAAACTTAAGCATAAACATAGAATTCCTTACTTTACTTTTACAGGTGTCCCTTGGAATTTCACATTTAATGTAAAGTTTTACCCACCTGACCCAGCACAGTTAACAGAAGACATAACAAGGTAAACAATCAATATTACATATATTACAGTTAAATATGTAATAGTAATTTTTTTTTCATTGTCACATACTCTGGGACCTTTCCTCTACAGAATTAAATAAAAGTCATGAGCTATTAAGTGATTAGCCTAAAATAGAAAGTTTCTGTTCATCTCAAGGCAGGTTTATAGATAAGTGAGCCTAAAAGCTTAAAATATTTGACCTTCCTGGAAGAAACTGGCAAGGGAACTAGTCTTGCTTATCATGGTATTCTGCCAAATGGTGAACAGAGCTCTTTTAAACCACAGCACCCTCAAGAGGCCAGGACGCAAATGTCAAAATGCCAAAAATTTGTTTGCTCCCCTCTACCTCCGTTGGCTATATTCCTCCTCTTACAGTGATCAAAAATGCTAAAATCTCAGGCCTATTATTTCTTTTTACCTCCCATTTAAGCTGCATGATTAGGTACATGTTTTAATGAACTTAAACTTCTTTCAAGCCCACTTACTTATAAAACAAACCTTGTATTCCTTAAAAAACCAACTGATTTCTCTTAAGAAAATAACTTCTCTTGAATTTTATAAAAATGCTAACAAAAAACATGGAAAAAGCAATATATTAGAAGGAGTACTACTGTACATCTATACCACTCATGGATTCTTATGCCTCATAGGTGCTAGGCAACTATTTGCTAAACTGAATTGTTAGTTGCTGAGAAGTTACTTTCTAATTCTGATTTTGCTACCAACCATTTGATTTCAGGTAATTATATTCTCTAGGCCTTAGTTTATATATTTTTCAAATAATGGAATAAACTCTTAAAACCTGACTCTTAAATTTCATAGAAAGTTTATAGCTTTTGTAAAGATTATTTTATTGTCCAGTTATCTATAGTGCATTCTTAAAGATAAGTAACATCTCTCTTTGAGAAAAATCAATATTTCATTTTCACAGGTAATACTTGTCTCTTAGCCACTTTTCTTTTTCTATCCAGGTTCACTCTGTATAAAACAAAGCTTAGCTCTAAAAAGCTTTCCTAATTACATCTTAAAGTGGCTGAACTTCTTCTGGTATTGATCTGACTTTATACACACATACACATATAATTATATATATATATATATATATTCTTTTTTTTTTTTTTTTGTCGGCCGTGAGGCTTGAACTCTGGGCCTGGACGCTGTCCCTGCGCTCTTCAGTTCAAGATGAGCACTCTACCACTTAAGCCATAGCACCACATCTAGTTTTCTAGTGGTTTATTGGAGATAAGAGTCTCAGGGACTTTCCTGCCTGGGCTGGCTTTGGACCATGATCCTCAGATCTCAGCCTCCTGAGTAGCTAGGATTAGAGGTGTGAGCCATTGACACCCAGCTTATATATGTATTACATACACACACACACACACACACACACACACACACACACACACACACATATATACATATATATATACATGTATATATATTTGGTGACTAATTATAGATAGCAAAAACTATTGTTAAGAATGATGTTCAGTAACCTATTATGGTAAAAACAAGGATGTGGTTCTAATTAAAGTAAAGGAATTGTTAATTTAATCACTTTTCTGTCTGGCATAATAGTCCCAGATGGTTAATTCAATCACTTAGGACCTATGGTAAGGAAATCAGGGCCAGAGGTGTGAACATCAACTGACACACATATCTGTACATGATAGAGCACTCAGTTGTTTTATTGGATTGAATATTTTTAATATAATTATATTATTATTATTAAGGTATTATACAGAGGGGTTACCATTTCGTAAATCAAGTAATGAGTACATTCTTTTTTGGACAATGCCACCCCATCTATTCCCCTCCTATCCCTGCGCACAGGTTACATAGTTTATTTTCCACATAGTGTCTACTGAATAGCATGATTGTCTTGAATGTTTTTTTTTTGTTTGTTTTTGTTTTTGTTTTGGGTCCGGTCGTGGGGCCTGAACTTTAGGCCTGGGTGCTGTTCAGCTCTTCAGCTCAAGGCTAGCGCTCTACCACTTGAGCCACAATGCCACTTCCGGCTTTTTTCCTTTTACTTATGTGGTGCTGAGGAATCGAACCCAGGGCCTCATGCATGCAAGGCAAGCGCTCTACCACTGAGCCACCTTCCCAGCCCGCCTTGAATATTTTAAATGCATCTGAAATCCCAACAGGTTAGCATACAGGGGGATCTAGTCCTACAAAATACTTGAGAATGTGTGTGGAAGGCTACATGTCACTTATCCCATCCCTCCTATTGGAGGAAATATGTATCACTAATGTCATCTTTGTTTTGAAAGGACTGGCATAGTTATACACTTTGCAAAGCAGCATAATAGAGGAGGAGGGAGCTACTTTTGCACCAAACAGCTTTTCTTACCAGCAGAGCAAGCTAAATTCCTGGGGCTGCCTCCTCATGTATAATCTGGCACCCATCTTGCAAGATTTCTTTTTTATGATGATTAGACAATTATGTATGTATGGTCCTCAATACTATGCACTCAACGAAGTATTAGTTTATCTTTTTCAGATTTTTCCAACTTTTCCTCTTTTCCTTCTAAACTGCTTTCCAAAATTATGGTTTTTTTTTTAATATTTTAAGCACACAGAAAGGAAGAAATACTACAATGAACAGCTATGTGCCCATTTACCTAGACTGAACAACTCTTAATGTTATTCATTGAATCTCTTTTCTTCCTCTTCCTCTCTCTCATCCCCCTTTTCTTTCTGTCTCTATCTTTTTCTTGTTGCTGGCATGTAAATATATTTTCATTTTTGGCTGTAGGTATTACCTATGTCTTCAGCTTCGTCAGGATATCGTTGAAGGACGTCTGCCCTGTTCCTTTGCAACCTTAGCATTACTAGGTTCTTACACCATCCAGTCTGAGCTGGGAGACTATGATTCAGAACTTCATGGTGTGGATTATGTTAGTGATTTTAAACTGGCTCCCAATCAGACCAAGGAACTTGAAGAGAAGGTCATGGAACTACACAAATCATACAGGTGAATATGTCTCCAGGATTTATTCTATTTTGGAAGTAAATTTAAAATACCCTTGACTTGTCTACTTAAGGGGAATCATGGTACAATGGGAAGAGCATGAGTTCATTTCCTTTTGTTTGACACTGGGGAAGTCCCTTAAGCTCTTTGCACCTCAGTTTTCTCATCAGAGTAATGGGCATCATATTGTAGGATGGGAACTAAATGAAGTAATATATCTGAAACATTTAGCACAGGGGCTGGCACATAGTAGGTGCCTGGCCGTGTGTGTGTGTGTGTGTGTGTGTGTGTGTGTGTGTGTGTGTGTGTGTGTGTGTCTGTGTGTGTGTGTCTGTGCGTCTGTGCGTCTGTGTGTCTGTGCGCGCACACGTGCACGCACTGGTGCTGAGGCTTGAATTAAGGGCCTGAGTACTGTCCCCTTAGCCTTTTCACTGAAAGCTAGTATTCTGTCATTTGAGCCACAACTCTACTTCTGGCTTTTTGATAGTTAACTGTAGATAAGAGCCTCATAGACTTTCTTGCCTGAGAGGGCTTTGACTGCAGTCTCAGATCTCAGCTGCCTGAGTAGCTAGGATTATATATAGGCAGGAGCCATTAGTGCCTAGCTGCCTTGCTTTTTTTCTTTTCCCTAGGTTTTAAATTTACCTCACTGTCCTCAAGAGCATGAGGTTTTTAAACTTGGGTTCTATGTACATGGGTAGAGGGCTTAGGAAATCCCTGAAAATATTTTTCAAGTCTATTAAATTCACTGTCTCCACTACTTATTTTTATGAAAATAATTGGTAACATTAGGCTGTATCATAACAGTGATCAAGGGCTGGGGCTTATAATTAGTCTAAGCTGTTTTGAAATCTTGCCTCTGCTTTGTCTCAACTTTGTGACCTTAGATGATTCACATAAAACTTCTTTGAAGGCTGAGTGCAGTGACTCATACTCATAATCCCAGCTATTTGGGAGGTAAAGATTAGGAGGATCACTGTTCAAGACAAGCTCAGGCAAAAAGTTAGCAAGATCATACTGAATTAGTAGCTGGACATGGGGATGTGTATCTGTCATCTCAGCAAAAAAGGAAAGTGTAAATAGGAGGATTGTAGTTCAAGTTGGCCAGGGCAAAAACTTGATGCCCTATCAAAAAAGTAACTAAAGCAAAAGGGGCTGAGGTCATGGCTCAAGTAATGGAGCTTCTGCCTAGCAAACATGAGGCCTTGAGTTCAAACCATACTACCACCAAAAAGAAGAACAAGAGGAAGAGGAAGAAACTCTCTGAGTTTTATGTTCTTTTTTTTTTTAATGTCTAAATAGGTGCTTTATCCATGAGCTATATCCCCATTTCAAGAATAATCTTAATGAAATATTAAAAGTGTTGATTTTATTAAGTATTAAACATATTCCAATTTAGTGTTCTATGACTTAGTGAAAAGTGCACACAATATTCCTGCTGAATACTGAATTACAACAGTTTCCTTGAGGAAAACACTCCTGTGACTGTGAGCTGAATTAACCACCTTTTAGTACTCTTTTCTCCTGAAAAATAAAAATAAACTGTGATTATTTAGACTTGGTTATCCAGTATACATTTTCTCAAAAATGAAAGGAGCCAATACTTTTAGGAAAAAATGAAAAACAAAAACAACTAACAGTATTTGTTGATAGTAACAAAATTCAAGCCTTCAAGTAAAAATTAAAATTTTAGCTTGGCAGAATGGTGCATTCCTATAGTTCCAGTTACTTGGCAATCTGAAGAAGGAGGATCATTTTAGCTAAGGATTTGGGAGCCAGCTTGGGCCTGTATCTTTAAAAATAAATTCGAATTTTGGAAAACTTCCATATACTGTCATGATCTAGATATTTTCCAAACATATAAAGATTTTTCTGCTGAGATTGATGGTATTTTAAATTAATCTTACTTCTAAATTATATATATTTTAGCCAGGTGATAGTGGCTCAGGCCTGTTAATTCTGGCTACTCAGAAGGCTGAAAAACTCTTCTATCTCCAATCAAGACTTTTATCTCCAATTAAGTAGCAAAATGCAGGAAGTGAGGTGTGGTTCAAGTGGCCAAGGTCTAGTTTTGAGTGAAAAAGCCAAGCAAGATAAGGGCCTGAGTTCAAGCTCCAGTACTGGCCCCTGTCAGTTATAAAAAGGTTTATTATGTGTTTTCAGATTTCACATTGTTACCAATGTTTAAAAACTTGCTTTTTGTTTTTGGTACCAGTCCTAGGGCTTGAATTCAGGGGCCAAGCGCAGTCCCTGAATTTCTTTTGCTCAAGGCTAGCACTCTACCACTTGAGCCTCAGTACCACTTCTGCCTTTTTCTAAGTAGTTTATTGGAGATAAGAGTCTCATGGACTTTCTTGCCTAAACTGGCTTCCAACCATGATCCTCGGATCTCTGAGTAGCTAGGATTATAGATGTATGCCACCAGTACCTGGCAAGAAATTGCTATTGTTAAGGTTTTATATACTATCAATGAAGACTATTTCAGGGCTGGGAAGGTGGCTCAGTGGTAGAGTGCTTGCTTTGCATGCATGAGGCCCTGGGTTCGATTCCTCAGCACCACATAAGTAAAAGGAAAAAAGCCGGAAGTGGCGCTGTGGCACAAGTGGTAGAAGGCTAACCTTGAGCTGAAGAGCTGAGGGACAGTGCCCAGGCCGAGTTCAGGCCCACAACCAACAAAAAAAAAAAAGACTATTTCAAATTCTCAACTCTGGTTATTTTATACAGATGTTACTAATGGTACAAAAATGGGTTTATTATTGTATTTAGATATTTAATAAATCATTATTTTAAAATTCCTTAGTTTTAAATTTTCTTACTGAAGATCAATGATGTTCATATAATGAAGAGTACTTTGGAGTTATCAAAAAAATGAGAAGCTGGGTACGGGTGGCTCATACCTGTAATCCTAGCTACTAAGGAGGCTGAGATCTGAGGATCCAGGTTCTAAGGTAGCCCAGTCTGGACAGTCTGTGAGATTCTTATCTCCAATAAACCACTGGAAAACAGGAAGTGGTTCTGTGACTTAAGTGGTAGCCCTAGCCTAAGCTGAAGAGCTGAGGACAATGCTTAGGCCCATAGCTCAAGCCCCATGATCAGTGAGGGGGGGGGGGGTGTGGAATAAAATAGGATTAAAAGAGTTTGAGAACCATTGAGTTAGGCAGTAAGACACATTATCAAAGCCATTGGCTGTATAGTCAGGCTGTCTTTTTTTTTTTTTGGGGGGGGGGGTCCGGTTGTGGGGCCTGAACTCTGTGCCTGGGTGCTATCCCTCAGCTCTTCAGCTCAAGGCTAGCGCTCTACCACTTGAGTCATAGCGCCACTTCTGGCTTTTTTCTTTTTGCTTATGTGGTGCTGAGGAATCGAACCCAGGGCCTCAGGCATGCAAGGCAAGCACTCTACCACTGAGCCACCTTCCCAGCCCCCAGCTGTCCTTTTTTGAATTCAGGCTTTCTCCCTTATTTGCTATGTGACTTTTGCTATACTTAAATTTCAGTTATCTGACCTGAAAAATGAATATTTGGAAGTCTGCATTATGGAATTTTCTTGCTCATTTTTTGGAAAGATGAGCAATCATTTCAAGCAGAAACCCAAATAGAAAATTTAATTATGTCCAACATCATAAGGTTTTAACCATCCCAAAGATACTTCTGCTAAGACACAAGTATTTATTTTACTATGATCGCCTTTCCTACTCCCCAGACAAATAGAAGACAAATATGTAAGTGAAAAATGTAGTAGTGGCCCTTTTCCCAGCCAGGGATTTTTGAAGCTATAATTAACTTTTCAAATTAATACTCGCAAATCAAGCCTTAAAATTAATTGCTCTCTGTTTATGGGTAGTAAGAAGGTATGTAAACTTGTCAGTTATCCTTGACTTAATTATTTGAAATCACAATCCTAATTAGAAGTTGCAACAGACATTATTACAATGTTGTCACATAAAACTGCAATTTACTGAATGGCTCTCCCGATTTCATTTCTTTGAAATAAATACAGGAAAATTGTCTCAAATACTCTTTGCAATAATAAAGAATTAGCCAGTTCTAGATGTCTCAGATTGAGTACTTTTGTAATCTGTAGTATTTATGAATAGTAAATTATGAAATGTTTCTTAATTAATTCTGAATACTGCTTACTTCCTTTTCTTATTTGGTCAGTACTAAGATTTTAATTCAAGACCTCACACTTGGGGCTGGGAAGGTGGCTCAGTGGTAGAGTGCTTGCCTTGCATGCCTGAGGCCCTGGGTTCGATTCCTCAGCACCACATAAGCAAAAAAAAAAAAAGACCTCACACTTGGTGAGTTTGCTTAGTAAGTTGATACTTTACCATTTGAACCACACTTCTAGACAGTTTTCTGCTGATTTTTTTTTTTTTTTTGATCCAGCCGTGGGGCCTGAACTCTGGGCCTGGGCTCTTCAGCTCAAGGCTAGTGCTCTACCACTTGAGCCACAGCGCCACTCTGGCTTTTTTCTTTTTGCTTATGTGTTGCTAAGAAATCGAACCCAGGGCCTCAGGCATGCAAGGCAAGCGCTCTACCACTGAGCCATCTTCCCAGCCCCTCTGCTAATTATTTTGATGAAGTCTCACAGACTTTTCTTCTCAGGCTGGCTTTGAGCCACGATTCTCAGATCTTAGTCTCTCGCACAGTTAGGATTACAAGTGTGAGCCACAGATACCTGACTTAACAGTACTCTTTGTTCTTTTTTTTTTTTTTTTTCATGCAAGTACTGGGGGCTGAAGTGTTTTTGCTTGACTTTTTTGCTCAAGGCTGCTTAACATTACTCTTAATGGCTTAAAGATATCTCATCTTTGTGTAGCTGGATTGTTAGGATTTTTGAAAGGTCTTAGAAATAGTCTTTATATTTTAAGATGAAAGATAATTTAAGCAGTATGTGTGATATTAATAAAATATGTGTTGTAATTACATGCACAGACATCTTTGGCTGGTGGGGTTATAGGAGATTTTCCTGACCTTTTTTTGTGTGCTTTTAATAACATTTTT